ACCAGCAGCGACGCGATTTCTGAATTACGTTTCGGTACGAAGCAGTTCAAGGTCTCGACAACTACACGTGTAGGTAGGTATCTCAAGTAGTCCAGGGATGGCAAGGTTGGCAGAACCTTCCTGAATCCGAGGCCATCGAAAGACTCTGGGCGTTGGGGGAAAAAAAAAAACTAGAACCCATACAGCCCAGCACGGATAATTTTTGAGAAAGCGGTCTTTTGCAATTATATACACGTGTCCGGTGAAGTGTTCAAAATGTCAGAGTACAGAGTCGTGTTGTCGCTGATTCTCAACAAGCCCACGATCGTCTCTGACCAGTCCGGATGGATGGGGTTTGCTGGGGGGGAGCCGGCGGTAACCTAAGCAGGGATATTGACCAGGGCCCGCCGGTGAAAGTCACAAAGTTACACGGCAGCCGAAAATCAGCACATGGGAGGTCTCAGATTGAGCGAGCAATGTTTCGAGGGTAGCTCTCCAGAGGAAGAGAGCAAGAGGAAGAAACTGCAACGAGGAATATCCATTTTTCTCGAGCATGGGTGTTCAGGTACGAAAGCACAGGGTATAGGTTCGATGTATGTATTGAATAAGAACCACGAGTTCGCACAAGGTCAAGGGTTTCGGGTATTTTTTACAGACGGCACACAGTAACTGGCTCTCAGGTACGATACTGTGAATACAAGTTAAGCGAACAAACCAGGGTCCCGAGTCGCCCGCAACGGCCAACGTCCACGAAATTTCCCGATGGGAAGCAAAGGTCAACACGATTTGAAAGCACTGTTGAACCGATCATGCATTCAAACAATTCTTCTCTTGCCTTTTTTGCGTCGTGATAACTATGCAATTATCAATCAGGCGGACTGGAATAAAACAATTGGGTACAATCTCGTGTCGGAGACAAGATCAATAGGTTATCGGCGAACTTCCCCGAGATGCGATTGGCAGTTTAACGAGTGCTGGAAAAGGCTTGACCTCTTGCTGTGTATCACAGTAGCTAAGAAATGTTTGCTTCTTAAGTTTGTATCGACGAGAAGCGAGAAATTGCCATCATCTTTTTTCCTCTTCCCCATCACGCTGTGCCTCCGCAGGGGTCTTCGTGGGCTGTTTGAGACACGCGACCGCACGCGGGCATGTGAATGACAGGACAGGGCGAGATAACTCAACGACGGAAACGACATGTCCATACGCAGTTCACGATCAATCTGAGCAAAAGTTGTAGCCAACCATGGCTCCCGCGGCCGCAATCAGTTAGGCAGCGTCCAGCGAGGAACACCGTTTCCACCATAAAAGTTCCTGACCAGCAGGCCGGGCAAGCGTCAATATTATGTTACAAGTGTGTATACCACGTATGTATGCACATGCATCGGGACTCTCACAAGTGGCATCGCTTTGTGCTCTCGCTGCTAAAATAGCATCTTGTCAATTGTCTGGACCAGACTTCCTGATGTGCGTGGGGACCTGTTCGGTGGAGGCGGACCGCAGGATGCCGTTGTGTGGGGGGGCATTGAACACCGCCGCGAACACGCAGGTCGGCTCGCCCGGGTCGTCAGAGGCTTGTTGGTGGCTGCTTCGCGCTTGCAGGGCAGGGTTTTTTTTTTTCGAGAGGCACCGACAGTGCGGTCAGCCTGGCACTCGTCCAGGGCGGGAGCCGAGCCAAGCCTAATTCAGCGGCCCATGTGACCAGGATCAAGAGCGCCATTTCTCATCTCTCCCGTTCGCTTCTGGGGTCAGCATTTCCGCCGAGGCGGGCAACGCATGGGTTCGTGAGGTGTCCGGATTTCTTCCCCGGAAAGGCTCCGGTCACGGCTGAGATCTTCAAAACAGCATTATGGCTTCAAGGCATGCATAAACAATTTGCCCATCTCGTACGAAATGGTTGCAACGACTGTGCTCACCGCATCCAAACATGCCGCATGACACATTGCCAACCTCAAGTCGGAAAACGGAAGTCACCTCCGATGCAGCAGCAGTTCGTCACAATTTCACTGGAGTTTCAGCAACTGGAGAAGAAAAAAAACCCGTTAGGCCAGCCCGGTAGGCGGTCTGCAGGACATACTTGCCCAGTTTGGCCAGGCAGCTGCCAATCACGCCACCCTAGCAGCCAATGGGGTTGGTTGAGGAAAGAATCATCGATGCATTTCAAGCACGAAACGGCTTCTGACACACAAACCTCAACCAATCCCCTGACAACCGCTTTCGCTGACTGAATGAGAATGAGACCAACCCGCTGACAACACTCATCAACTCATGCTAGTTAGTTAACTACCTAGTGTAAACTTCGACACTTTTGCACTTTGGAAGGATTGCCAACCGATGTCGGACCAATCACAGAAATGACAACGTCACATTCTTCCTCACCGCACAAAATCCGTCAGCAGCGGACGACTCGGATGTCTTCCGAGCTGCTTCACCGCAAAACTGGTTGAACTCTCGCCGGTCTCATCCGTTGGCCCATCAGTGAGAGCTAGCCTCTCATCATCCTTCCAATCAAACAAGTTGCAGCATTAAGCGTTAGGATGAAAATTCGAACCTTCCAGAGCTCGTTGATTACACGCACACCGGTCAGTTCCGCTGGCTTGGAACCACCAGGCATGACTCGGGAGGTCGGTCGTTCGCTGAACGCAACCAGACTTTCTTTTGCAATCTGGGGGTGCAAACGGTTGCAATGCTACCTCGTCCGGACGTGCAACCTTCTCGCGGCAGTTCTTGTCCCGCTCTGCGACAAGGCCCGGCTAGAACAAGCTGGCAACGCGGGAGCCTGCAGAAATCCGTCCCAAGTCGCTGTTTGGTAACGGACCACAGGCCTTGGGGGTTGGGGGTTTCCAGTCACCCCTGTCTGCATCGGTTTATCTTAGCTCAGGTCCCAGGAGCTTTCAAGGCATCCCGGACGGGGAAAGCTGGCATTGCCAGTCAATGAGACGAGCGAGCAGCGCCGATCCAGGGCTCGCGGAGAGATCTCGAATCTATTTTCCCCACAAACCCCTCTCCAACCCAACCGACAAGTGAGGCTCATCAGTTTCACCTCGGGAATCTGGTAACACGCTCGGGAAGCCAGGGTGGCTGGCTCGCCCCGCGTGGATGATGATGCCGCACCTCCCCCCAATCCTGGCACATGCATGCAAAGAGACCTTGAGAGGGGACTGACCCCAAAAGATCCCAGGGCTGGTTAGCTCTGCCATGCATTTATCATCCCCTCCAGAACCATTGCCCCTCGGCGTTAGGCACGGGTTTGAGAGAGGAACGGGAATGGAGGCGGTCACGGAAAACCACACGGCGCGTCTGGCAAGCTCTCAACCCGAATCCAATGAAATGGACCCTGCCACTCCCCCCCCGCCGGCCTCTGTCCATCAATCGGAAGCTGAGCAGTTCACGCGCAGCATGCAACAGGGGGGTAATGCGAAGTTTCCGCCGATATCCCTGTCCTCGTCACACCGGGGCGAATGTCAACCCGCCATCGTTGGGACGTGGGATGTTTCCTTGCCCCTTCCAATTACCCTGGCGCATGTCCCAAAATGCGTTTTCCGACCAGGGAGCGCGCGGCTGTTAGGTTCGATGAGGTGAAGACGCCCAAGTCAGCTCGGCTTCCGGAACTTTCTACCGCTCCAACCTCGCTCGAGTTGAAAAAGTGACAGCACGCGCGCCCGGTAAGTCTCCGGTTGGTCCCCGACAAGGCCGAGAGCTCGCTCTGTCCCTCACCTTTGCCCACTGGTCACTTATCACCCGACAGCTCACTTACTATACATCCTTGGTACACGTAATAAAAGCAACAACGCGCCATGGCTCACCAAGTCTGTCGTTTGCCTGCCGTTTGTCCATCAACTCAGAATGGCATGGCCGTTGTCGATTGTCTCAAAAAGATGGGGATTCCAGGATAGAGGGCCGGCCCTGGCAGCTGGAGGACCCGTTCGTGCCGTTCTGTCGGAGGAAATTCCGGAAAATGCTCCACCCCAGAAGACCGTTTCGTTGGTCGGTCTCCAAAGGACCGTCTGCCTTCTCTTCGGCTCGGTAATCAGCGAGAGGGGCGTGACCTTCTCCGTCCTCCGAATGGAAGTCTTTCATTTGACCGCTGTGGATCCCCGATCATCACCGAGCATTCTGTCAGTGCGCATGGCAAGCTCGGACAAATCAGCTCTGGCTCCTCCTCGCTCCTACCGAATTGATGGCCGTGAAGTGCGGAAGTTCCGGATAAATCACTTCACTAATTATAGGGGAACTCAGTACGAAGGGACATCGGGTCCTAACATGACGCACCACTCATTTCGCGGCCCCGAGCCGGCCACCTCGCCGTTCCTTGCCTTGTCACTGCTTGTGCGCAGAACGGAAGAGGTCGGTGGGGGGCGGGTCGCGTTAAACTCTGCCAAGGAATTTGGTTCGTGGAGGTGTGGGCTCTCTCTTCGCGAGAGGAGCCAGAGGCTTGATCGATATCTCTCTCGCGTGTGCCGAACACCACAAAAACGCCCCCATGGGTTGGGTTCCCACGACAGTCCCAGCCTTACGGGAAGACCAGGGCACTCGAGAAGCCTGGTCGCTGCCAGCTGCTTGTCCAGGGTGGTACTTGTAGTCAAGGGAGCTGTCGTTGCACAAAGAAGCTTCCCCTGCCCGTTGCATCGCGCCCGCCAGCCACCCTTGCCGAGATTGGGGAGAAGCTCAGGGGTTTTGGAGACCAAGCAAGGGGTGTCGAATGCGACCAAACCTGCAAACGCGACCTCAGGGCACTTGTACCGCGACCGCCAAGATATCGCGTGGGCAACGTTGAGACGACAACACACGAAGTGCGCCAGCCATTGTTTGAGAAGAACCTCACTGTGCCTTCAGGCGACATCAGCGCTGGCCCTTTTTGCAGAGAACAGGCTAGCTCGTGTTTGAAATCGGTACTTGAAAACAACTGTGCGCCTCTGGAATGAAGAGCTGCTAACTAAACCTCAGTTGGGCTAGGTAACTAAGCCTATGTCTTCACCAAGCTGAACAGTCAAAGGTGCGAGGAAGCTCATCAACACAACCTCCTACATAGAAACATCAAACCCCGTGATGATTGTGGACTAGCCGTGATTGTGACGGGCCATCCTGGGGGGAGTCACACAATGAGGTGGCGTTTCTGAGTCGTTGAAGGCTCCAATTCTGTCTACATTGATAACCCCTCGATCATCTGACCCGCCTTGCCTGAGTCAGTGCAAGAGTAACAAATGCCCGATGAAAAAAAGAGAAAAAAAATACATCGGCAGTCTCGGGAGCTAGCAGCTTGGCCCACCTGCAGCACAGCTCAGCCCCGGAACGTCAACTCGAAGAACTTCAGCTTCAGCCGTTGATACAAACGAAGTCGTTACAGCACACCACAACTCACACACACGACGGGCCTGTTGAAAGGGTTGCCTCGCCCAGCTAGCCGAGACAGCTTCGCGGTTCATGGAACGCCGTGCTTGCTCAACCTCCCTGTGAAACACGTCGATCGCGCCTCATGGGGAATCCATGGTGGCGGTCCAACCCACTAGCCAGAAACCCACAAACGCAAATGTCTCAGATGTTTTTTTAATCTCCCCTTTTCAGCTTTCCCCCCAGCCCCCTCTTTCTTCCGTCATTCGGTATCACCGACTTATTGGCAAGGCCCGGATCGGCCGATGGGCTTGGCTCGATGGAGAAGCGCTATGGAGCTTTGCCGACTCGACCGTTCAGAAATGGGGTGATTCGGGCGTCATTAGTCACAGCTATGACGGTGGTAAATCTGACCTTCTCCTCTCGCTCGGTCCGAGTGATGTCAAGGCGGGCTTTGGGCTTGTGGACTTGGGAGGATGTCATGCTGTTTTCGGGCTAGTTAACTTGTGGTGGAGGCTCCGATGATCACTGGAACTTTTACGGACGAGAGCGAGGAAAGGCAAAAAAGAACGATTGCATGCCAGTGACGGATAGCAAAGCCATGTATCACCTCTGCGGCCAACAAGCTCGGATGCCGTTTATGGTAATCCCGCTGATTATTCACGGTCAAACATGCGCCAGAGGCTTTCTGAGTTGGATCCCATAAGCAGCTAATTTTGATGCGGGGGGCTCGGGAGTTGAATTCCTCCTTTGCTTACAGATAACACGAGCCGAGAAGTTATCGTCGTGTTGTTGCTGTGACTTTTCCTGGCGGCTACATCAGGGAAAACGCAACGAAGACGGCGGCTTCGCATTCTCAGAATCTTCGGGAAAAGGACACTAACTAGTCGCTAATTAATCTCTTATTTTATCTCCCACCTCAGCCAGAGATGGGACGAGACATGCAGTGGCGCGTTGCACGATCGAGATACGGGATGCCGTGCCTATGCTTGTCTTTCACGTCCCCCCCCCAGTCGTACTGTGTGTGTATTAACGAGTTATCTTTCTCGGAGTCAAGCCAGTCAACCGCTCAGCGGGCCAGCTGAGTGGCCTGGGAAGAGGCAAAAAAACTCTCCGCTCAGCGGCGTCCTGCACGCAACTTGCATGGTCATGTGTTGGCTTGCGAGCTGGCTGGTGGCTGGCTAGACCTGTGTGTTCCCTTCGATCGACACGGGCAGATTCCACAGTGAGAAAGCTGTGCCGCTTCCCAACTGTCACTATCACTGTCGTCACTGTCAAAAAAAAAAAAAAAAAAAAAACCGAAAACCGTTCGATGGATGAGCACGTTGGCAGCATGGCACCAAGGCAGGGCATGATGGCATGTCAGCTCCGCACGGTCCGCCGACCCCATCGTCGGCCGCCGTCTCATTTCTCGAACAAAAGCTGTGCCGCCGCCTCGCCTCGAAGGACCCGAGAAAACTGCTGTGTCCGGACTGGTGGCTGGCCCAGAACGGAAAGAATCGGCCGCTGCCTTGCTGCAGCTGTTGCAGATACGGACTCAACGGTTCCGGGCGTTTGTTCTGCCCTATCCTGTCCTTGCCCTGTTCTGTCCTGTCCTGCCTGTCATGTCCCAAGTGGGAGAGAATCTTCCCTTCTTCCCTGTTTTGTTTTTTTCTTCCAGATGGCGTTGGCGTTGGCGCCAGACATGTGGGTGGGTGGTGATTGGGTTGGCCGCAGCTGTTCGAGGCAAACGGCTGCATGGTGTGTGTCTCATGCAGCAGTCAGGGAGGTGCGCTGCCTTTGCCGGTCTTCGCCGCATGGAGACCGGGGTGATAGCACGGAGAGGCCTGCAGAATGCTTGGTTTCCGGCCCCCCCCCCCTTCTCCCCCATCTCCCTTGTCCCCCTCACGCTGACCCCCAACGGCCAAGGCCATGCCTGTTTTTCTGTTTGCTTCACCTCGGTGAGCCAGAGGCGGGGGAGGCGAGGGGGAGGCAGGGTCTCCCAGGCCCAGGTCGGCCCGGCAGTGTTGTTCTCTTGCCCTTGTCCCTGCCACACCGTCCGGAGCCGGGTGGATTGCCCGGGCTCGCTTGAACGTTCCCGTGTCATCGTGATATCACCCCGTCCGCGTTCTGCATCAGGTATATCGGGCTGTTGTTTGTCGGCTTGAAGTAATTTGTCTAAACCCACCGAGTGCCCAAGTGTCTTGTAGTTATGTAATATCCTCCGTTCGGTAGCTTGGCCGTCGTGTGTTGAGGGTTTCTGAGAAGATCACTCGACTTGCTGCCCGAGGCTTTTCGGTGTTGAATCGGGTCTACGAAACATTCGCGCGGGGAGAGCTTCCCTTTCTCGTAGCATGTCCGACAAGGCATGGCATGTTGAGTGTTGCGGAGTGTCTCGGTTCGCACCGAGCCGCAGGACGATACCGGAAGGTAGGGACCCGGGTTTGAGACAACAAAACGGAAACCGGGCAGGGAAGGAAAGGGATGCCTGTGGTGATGCGGTGATGGAAGGCCAGTAAACAAACCTCCGAGTATGCATGTCGTTGGGCCCCTGTGTGTTTCAGGGGGCTGAGATGGAAGGGCCTGTAGGGAATACATATCCTTGCTTTTGTAGTTCTTGATTCTCTCATGATTTGTAAATAAGAAGTTGCCATTGACTTTGTTAACAACATATTGAATAGTAAGTAGCTTAGTATCACTCAGCTCTGTTTATTTTTGAGACTTCAGAAGAAAAGTTATATTCGAAGGGGAAATAAAAGAGAACAGAAAAGAGAAGACAAGTGGGAAAATATAATTGTGAGACGAAGGGCAAGAAAAAGCAGAGGTAACGGCGTTAAAAGAATAACAAAATGATACATCAGTAGAAGTAAAGTGATATAAGTGCACTGTATTCTGTTTTCTTTTCCTTGCTCTTCCTTCTACTTCTACCAAGCAACAGAAATGAGAGACTGCAACAACCGTCGAGAAGAAGACGAGGAGACAACAAACTTAAATGTAATGTCAACTCCCTTGTGTTGTGGTTAGTTTAAGGAAGACTCACTTGAGATAGGTTTCTATCCGTACAATGTAAGAAGTTAACCAAACACCATGTCTGCCGTGACCAACAAACAAGTCACAGAGAAGAAATGCGTGCTACAGTATCTGCCCACTCAAGCAGAAGTCTGATGCAGCCCTAAGAAGTCAAGTAGATTGAGTGGCAAGGGGTCCTGGGTAGCGAGGTGCCGTTACTCTTGAGAAGGGCTATGGACCGCTTCATCTACCTCAAACAGCCCACCAAAGATAATACACCCATCCACAGACCAACAACGTGCACCCGGCCCTTCTCCACCAACGCCAAGTCAAGTCTTGAACCCCCTATGAGGTCTGCCCAACAGCAAGCACAATCTCTCGAGAGCCCAACGCCATGGGGCCACGCCAACAACCCCAATATCCATCACAACGCGGCAGACAACAACCGAAGGGATAGATTTTGCCAAACACTGGCGGCCACCAGGTATGTTGAACTTATATGGGAACTAGGTAGCGAACTTTTCATCTGCCCCCTATCGTCGCCCGCCATCAACCAGCACAGAAACGCCCATGGATTAACCAGTCCAACTCCCAAAACCCAACCCAAGAATACCGTCTCCAACATGGCCGCTAAAACATCAGAACATATCCGTAGTACATACATACAACCTCGCTTTTGACCATCCATGCTCGACGTTGACGTCCAACAAATACCAACCAATACAAAGAAGAACCCCATCATCACATCATAGCTTCGTATCACGCTCCCCAAAAGCAGGAAACCACTCCAAAACCCCCAATCCCGGTGCCACCTACGATGCCGTCTCGCATCACGGCCTTCGCCGACTGTCGCTGTCCTCAATGCGATGACGGCGATGCCTAGTGTCCTTTTCCCTCTCCTTATCCTTACCGCGCCTCTCATCATCCTTCTCCCGCTCGTGCTGGCGATGGCGCTTCTTCTTGTCGTCATCCTCAGTCTCGCGCCCGCGGTCACGGTCCTCGTCATACTCGGCCTCACCACGCGCTTCGTCATACTCCTTCTTGCGGCGCTCTGTGCCATGTCGTGTTAGCATTCGAATAGATGTCAAAAAGCCGACCCGAGGGAGTGTGTTTTACCTCTCAGCGTGGCAGTCGCCGCCGCATACGCCTGGATTTCCTCCTTGCTGAGCACCCTCAACACAATAACAAAGTCGTCGCGGACCTCGAACCGCTCCTTGCCGATCTTGAGTGCCTCCGGATTGACCATCTTGCGGCTGATCTTTGTCCAACGCGCGCCGGTCGGCACGTTGTTCTTCGACTTGTCGTCCTTGTGGGGAGCGACGCCCTCGCGGACGGGGTTCGGTTCTTCGGGGAACTGCACCTTCGGCTGCTTGAGGATGCCTTTGATGGGCTTCTTGTCGACGGTGGCGTCCTTTGGTGGCGGCACCAAACGGACCTGTCTTTCATCTCGCGACGGGGGGCCGGTGGCGTCGCCGTCATCCTTGGGTGTTGTGGCTGAGGCCTCGGGGTCGTTTTCACGCTTCTCGGTCGGGGGCGGTTTACGCTCTGGAGAGTGCTCCCTGGCTGGAGATGCATCCTTCTCGTCGGCTTTCTCAGCGTCCTTAAGCTTAGCTAGCCGGGCCTTCATCTCAGCGAGGGCGGCGGTGTCATTGGGGTTGAACGACGAGGCCCTTAGACGACGGCGAGGCTTTGGCTTTGCTTCGCCATCCACGGACGAGGAGCGGTCTCGGGATGGCTGAGCAGCCGCTTCGTCAGGCTTCTTGGATTCCCGAGCCTCGGGTTCGGGCACTGTCAGATTCTTTGGTTTCTCACGGTCCCTTGGGTGCTCGACAATCTCGAAATCCTCGTCGTCAAGAAGAGCCTCCTTCCGGCTTGGCCTGCCTCGAGGATCTGCCTCATCGTGCCTCCGGCGATCGAGATCCTCCTCGGCATGTCTCCTCGGCGGGGATGGGTCCTCGTCCTTGTCGCTCCTGCGCTTCATGGCAGATTTAAGGCCGACGGCAGCGGCGGCAACACCAACACCAGCCGCTGCCTTGTCACGAACCTTGTCTCTCTTGCTGTCAGGTTCGTCGTCGTCTGATCTCCGATCCCTCCTCTCGCGCCCAATTTCCTCGTCAACCGCGTATTCGTGTTCGCGGTACCGCCTATGGTCCCGGTCGTCGTACTCGTGTTTGATGATTTCCAAGTCGTCATCTGGCCGCCGCTTGGACTCATGGACCTCGTAGCGTTTCTGAGGCTCCCGACGTTCACGGCGTTCGTCGACATAGACTTTCTCGGGGGGGCGACGATGGTCGTCGACATCGTTCGGATCGACGAGGATCCCAAAGCCACGAGCGGTGACGCGGTCATCCTGAAAGTAATTCTGGTCACGGGGGTCATCGTAAATGTAGTAATCGTCGGGGTGACTACTAATTCGGGCAGGGTCGTCCTGGATCATCGACAGTGGGCGTGGGCCGCCGCGGTGTTCTTCCCTCGGGCTTCCCTCCAGTAGGTTGACACGGCGTACATCAGGGAGTAGGGGCGCCGTTGAGGTCGAAGGCGGGAGAGGCATGTGTGATCCGGCGCCATTGTAAATCCCACCGGCTGCCTGGGTCCAGCCTATCTTGTCTAGACCCCCTGGTTGTCGGCGGCGGACCTCGCACTCGTCTGTCGGTCTGGTCGAATGGGCGGGCGAGGTCTGCGCTGATGCTGACGGTCGGGCGATAGTACCGATCGAGGCTCTCGCGGCGGGTCTTCTGGCGCTGGTCGTTATCAAGGTCGTACCTCGCGAGGTCGCTTGGCTTCGTGTACTCGTATCCCTCGTCATCAAACTCCTGGGTGTTGGGGGCGATGGTTAGGTCCGGCGTAGAGAGACCCCGATCGTGCAGGGCGGTAGGGGTCGGCGCCGCGGTTTCCCAATCTGTCATGGTGAGTCCGTTCCTTTAATCGGCGATATTCTTCATCGTCCATACTGGCGCTTGAGGGGACGTAGCCAGCAGGTCGGCTCCGCGGTATGGAGGAAGCTGGCTGGGCATAGTATTGGCCCTCGTCGCTCGATCGATAGGGGTCGCGCGGTGGGCTTCCTGGTCTCTGCGCTGGCGGATGGTGCTTCGTCGTGACGATGATAGGTCGTTTGGCGTTCTGGTCGAGGACTCGGTGGACTCGGGTACCGTCGTTGACACTGGTGCTCCTCGAGAGGGGCTCCTTCCTCACGGCGTATGTGTTGGCGCCGACGGGGACTGCGCTCGTGCGATACTCGTCGGCTGGCCGGGACAAGCCCTCATGGTGGGATGCCGACATGCCATGGAGGTCGCCGCTGTAGAGTGAGCCATAACCGCCGCCGGTGACGGGCATGGAGGAGCGGGCTGGGTTGTAGAGGGGAGGCGAGCGCCTCGAGGCGGCGTCCATGTATCGGTAGCGGGCAGGGTCGGCCATCTCTGCGGCGGGATCGCACCGACCCGAAAAAGATAGCCGAGGATGTTTTGTGTGACAATGGCTGGTGGTTGCGATAGGGGGGAATCGAGGGGAATGTGAATGTCCTTGTCCTGGTGATATCAACTCACCACTGCGCCGATTCAATCGATGGTGAGAAGCAGCTGGAGAGAAAGAGCGGTGACTGTCCACGTGGAGCGGTGTTTTTTTTAGGAGGGAAAAGTGCTAGTTAAGTGGTGTGTGGGTGTGTGTGTGTGCGTCTTCCTGCCTGTCGGGGGCGCAGCGTTACTGTGAAGAGGGGGAGGGGCCCTCGGGGCCCTCTCTGTCCATGGTGTGCCCAGGTGGGGTTCGATATGACGCTCGGCGGGGCAGACCGGGGTGTAAGCTCTGCCGCTGCACTCTCACCACACTCTCCAATCCGGGTGATTACTGTGTACTGTGTGTTGCGCAGGTACCTACATTATGGAGATTATGGAGGCAACTTGGAAGCCTTGGGGAGCCTTTCGGTACGCAGTGGACCAGGACGCTTTTAGCAGCGATTGGATTATCAAGACGGGACGAGGTGAAAATGAGGTCGGACCAAATACTGTGTAAGTGCCTCGTTACGTGTCGCGGGGTTACGGACTGGAGGGGTTAAAAACAAAAGAAAAAAAAAAAGTACTTTGTCCTCGAGCCTTCCATTTCCGGGGTCCCCCGTTCCAAGAACTCGACGGAATCTGAATGGTGGGGACGGTCTGCTCTGCCCAATGTTTGCTTCGGACGAACCCAAGCTCGTTCCTGCCATCCCTGGCCGGGCTTTCCCTCCGAATCAGACAGGTTCATCAGTCATGTCTGTGTCTGCCTGACGAAGCTGCCCCACCATTCACGTTTCTTGATTCCTCAACAAGGAAGGCAAGGCTACGAAACGGTTCATCCAGTTGCTGCACTTTTGAGAGGCTGTGTTCCTCGGGGCGCATCCCCCTGGCTTACCTGGCAATTCTCTTTCGTTTTTTCGGGGTTCTGTCCAGCTTCGGCATGCAGGCCAAGCAAGGATGCAAGTTGCCGTCGGGGATGCGGTTGGAATCGTACGTCGGGCTTCGTTCCAGCCTTGTTTCTCCGACTTTTCCCAGGTATCGCACACCCCGACATAGCGCCGACCTCGACCGAATGTGTTGATCGCCGAAACATGGGAGTTGGGTTGAGCCGGCAAGGCCGTTTGAACACGAGGACCGTCTTTACGCCCAGCGACAGTGCACATTGCGCCCGCCAAGGTGAAGGATGACGTCTGGCCCATGGCGGGCCTGCAAAACGGTGCCCAATGGGGAATCGGGGGCTGCTAACCGGCTGCGAACACATAGCCCTGACCAACAACTCCAACATGGAAGCAGGCCAATCCCAACATTTCAATTGCATACATCACTATCAAAAGCTCCCAAGAGACAATAATGGTGCGAATATAGGGTCCGCAAGGGCCCAAGTGATCGCCAGGACACGAGCTTTCCCTCCTTCATAATTGTTCGTGAGTGACTTCACTTTTCCAGTTTCGAGATGGAGGAAGGCGTTGTATCCGAGACCGAGACCCAAGATTTCCAAGCAAGGGGCGCGGTAGTGGCAAACGGGTCTCTCATCATGTCATGCGGCAGTTTCCCAGCAGAATCGCACAATCCGCCGATTCCGGCTTCTCTCTCGGTTTCTTGCCTCCCTGATGCAATCACAGTCGCACAGGTCCACAGAGACCGCGCCTGGCTAACTAGGTGACCGTGGCTTCAGGATGGCTACGGTCTGGTGATCGCCTTCATCCCCTTGGTTGTTTTGAACATTTCCGGATTGGGTGTCACATCAATCCAATATCGATAGACATCCCGGCGACGGGTCGAGGTAGGGTAGCAGGCCCACCTTTTTTTTAAAGATTGGGCACCGACGGCCAGATACCCAACCCACTCGACACTTCTACCGTCGCCCTCTGAGTGGTCTGTTGCTTTGACCTTCAGCTCTCCCGTTGCATATGCCATTTCTGGGTGGGAGGTGAGCTTTGCTGTCCGATTGGCCTCGGCCTCCGGTAACCCGCCCGCGACTCGAACCTTCACACCCTCCCACACGTGGGAAGATGGAGAGTCTGCAGTAGCCTCTCTTCTTAGACGCGCTTCCATCACCTTCCCCGGTATGAGAGGCCCGGTGTGGAGGACGGCTGGACGGCTGGGGTGATTTCCTCCACGGTCCGTTGGACAAGCTGCAGGGTGACAAGTAGTTCGCCCGCCCGAGAGACTAAGAACCGGGTCGATGGCGGCTTGCTCGGCTATCCGCCACCCGTACCACTAGTACGCCTTCCTGTCGTAGAACGATACACGGTGCCTTATCGGCAAGCAACCTTCACGTTTCACCGTCGGTCTGGTTGGTCCTTTCCGCCCTTGTGAGAATCAACATGTCATGTCGGTTCCCTCGCTCGTCCACCTGCCATGCTGCGTCACCCCGAAAACCCGGATTGCCTCGCCCAAGTCCTGGAAGGCCAGACTGACAATAATTGGCTTGATTAAGCCGCGGTTGGCGCTCTCGAGCAATGAATGGTTGGACTCGGTACTTTCCAGTCTCGCATGATCTGGAACATTATCAGAAATTAATATCGATAATATTATCGGTGTTTTGGATTGACTATCTGAACACATCTTATTCAACAATGATATCAAGAAACTAGAAACTAGAAATTAGAAAGCGAACCTTGGGTATTCACTTATAAACCTGTATTGTTCAATGTATAGATTTGTCCCCAGGTTCCCCCCGCTAAAAGAGGATGAATATGCCCGTGGTAACTGAAACCACTCTGGTGGATGTTTCTGTGTCAAGGTAACATATAAACAGTTGGTGCTTGTAACCGACCACCTGACCCCCTAACCTCGGCATGTTGACAGGGTCACACACGAAGGGACTCTGATCTTAGCTGCTGGCGATGCTAGCACATGTTTGAGATTTTGTCACTTGAATGAGAGAGTCTTGGAGGAGAGGGGGGCTCGACTACCCGAAGCAACACATTCTGCCATTCTACAATACGATACTTGAAGATGTGGACGACTTTCGGTTGACAAGAATATAACAAGACTTAGAGGTTGTCTTATGACGGATAATACGAGATTGCGAGCATCGTGCCTGTCTTGAAGGACATGGCATCGTGTGTAAATTGCGTGAGGGTTCGTTCCAAGACTCTACCAAGATCGGAAAAGAGTCGGGTAAATCGGAGGGGAAGAATTACTAGAACACTTGATGCTTGGTAAATAGCATACTAGTTCATGCAACCAAAGCCGAAAGTTGGTGGCTATGAGACGAGGCGGGAATGGCGGGAGATGTCACGAGGCAATAAACACAACCAGGTGCTTGATAACGGGCCGGCGAGATGGCCTGTGGTTTTCGTGTCTTACGTTTGTTAAAGGGCTAAGAAGCGATGAACAGATAATGGTCGGCATGGCAGGCGGAAGGAACGAGAGCGGATGACTGTCACAATTCAAAAGGCACGCACGGAAGGGTCAAGTAAAGCCAACCATAAACATCCATCCATTACAGTCATCATATACACGTGAAACTAGCGGCATGAAGCCTTCATCTCCTCCGCGACGACCCTATTTCCAACACCCGGTGTCCAATCTTCCAAAATACACGCCATTTCCAAATGTACCAAATGCGAGTCTAATACATGCAGTGTTGTGGCTGAGGAGCCCGCTTACAGGCGCGAGCCGTGAACGACCTTCATGTCGACAGCCATCTCGGAGCCGTTGTCGGTGACGACAAGGACACGGACGCTGCCACGGCCAGACTCGAAAGCCTTCTTGAGGCGGTTCCAGAGGCTGCTCTGGTCAATGACGGGCAGGTTCTGCTTGACATCACCAGTCTCGGTCATGGCGACGATGTGGCCATCCTGCATGTCGAGGACGCGGTACTGCTTGAAGACCGGGCCGATCATGGTCTGGACCACAACGCTGGGGGCCGGGTTCGAGACGAACGACGACTCCTCATGGAGCTGCTTGGTGAAGAGGTCGACACCAAGGTAGCGGTGCTGGCCAGTGGCAGCCGAGGTCGAGATGCGGATGACCTGGCAAGGGCGGCCCTGGAGGATCAGGATGTCGCCGAGGCGGATGTGGTGGCAGGGGATCGACACCGTGTTGGGGCTCTTGGGAGCGCGGCGGGTCTCGCGGCTCTCGACAGCCTCAATGCGGTCCTGGCCTTGACGGTGGGCAATACGGTCAGCTAACTTGTGCAACCCACGACAGAAAGAAGTAGTAGTTGCCTGGTGTTAGCGTGAGCACACTTGCGTGTGACAGTCATGGGGCTTCCCAACGACTGGACAGGTACGAGAAAAGAGAGTAGAGTATATGCTTACCATCCTCGTCGTAGTAAGCCATCTTGGATAGTTGAGTGTCGCGACAGAGAGTGTCTACGGTCTCTTCGACGATGTCTACCTTGCTTTTGTAGGTAGAACGAGGAGCAGCAGGTGCGTCAACGGTGGTGCCGGTGACGTAGACGGACTCCTTGTAGGTGGGACGAGAGACAGGGGCGTCAACGGTGTATTCGTCGACGTGGCTAGAGGCCTTGTGGTGGTGGTGGCGGTGTCCGAAGCGGGAGCTGTCGACGGTAGAGCCGACTACGGAAGCCTCCTTGTGGTAGTTGGACTGGATGCGGGAACGATACTCGCTCTCGGCAACGTCGATGACAGAGTTCTCAGGGCGGTGCTTGTGATCGAACTCGATGCGAGACTCGGTGTAGGTCTTTTGAGGCCTGATGTAGGAGTGGGTGGTTAGTAAGGGAAGGGGAAGAAGAAGTCGAGTGTTTGCGCCGGGAAGCGCGTGTTTTTCTTCTCGTCTGGTTCCTGGGTCAACCCAGCCCCCCCTAGCTCCAGACCGCCTTGGCGAGGCTGCGCCGAGCAGGGGATGGGTGGACACCCTGGCCCTGGATGGAGAAAAAAAAAAGGCGGGAAACCGGACAAGGCCCCAAGTGGGACCCAAACGAAATCATGACAGACTGAAACATAACAAAGACAAGGGGTTGGCCAGAAGGACTTCAACAGGACTTGAAGATGCAACTCACCTCGGTGGTGGTGGGTGGG